TATGCGTGAAACGAGGTTATTCTCATTTCGAACGAAGAGTACATATATGCATGCATACACGCACCGTTGCCCAAGAAGGCGTGGGCTATTGCCCGCCGGTTTGTTTTTGCCCGGGGGAGCCCTACGCTGCCCGTACGGGCAATGACTGAACGGCATTGGTCTAGGTGGTTCGTTAAGATCCAACCACTACCTAGATCTTTTTCGATTATCGTAAAGTACCCAATTTACGTCGCAGGAAATAATTCTGTCATGAAAAGGGTGCTTAATGTTCCGCAGGATATGGAAAGAGCAAATGAAAGTACGAAGCATTCGCACACTTATTCATTTTCTTTGTCTTGCCTAGATTTTGTAGATGGTATAAATAAATTAATGAAACATTGGCATAGGTGTGTAGATTGCAATGGTTCTTATTTTGAATGAATATGTTCACTTTTGGCGAAGTTATGATTAGTTCAATTCAGACGACGAAATCTAACAGAACTTTTCGAAGAACATAACGTAATTCACTCTTGAAAATTTGAGAAATATTTTCAATTGATTAGCAATTATTGAGCAGTTATGCTATAATGGTAGTATCATTATAAAATAAGTGTGTATAGTTCAAAATATAAAAGTCTACTCTCAGTTTAGTCATGCTTCACCTACAAAAATCAAACTATAATACTTTATGTTTCTCATTATTTTCATATATTATTCTTTTCCCCCTCTTACTCTATTGAAAATTCCAACTTGAGCGAAATTGTGCTGCAATAAATTTTCACAGAGAAGCCAATTTCGTTTGATAGCGGACGTTAGAAATATAAATTTTCCGCTGGAAACTGAGCAAGAAGCATAGTTGCTTCGGTGTTATTTTTCGGCAAACCGTCCTTTCTACATGATTGGTCATGATTGGTGAACTTGAATGTTCTATCGATTTCACAAATTAGTGCTTCTCGTGTGCGCGCAATTCGCGTTGAAGTAAGTGGCGCTCGTAAATTTCAACGAGTATTATTGCAGCGATATCGCTACAATATCGATATTGTCAATTGGTAATTGATCTTCGTTTTAATGACTGAAATTGGATCTGAACCGAATGAAAAAAGAAGAGGTTTTAATGCTTTTTCTATTTTTCGTCGCTTCACGAAATTGCTTTTATAGCAGTTCGCGTTTGTTGTTCGATGGATATCGTGTTTGCATTGGCGTTCCATAAAGTAAAGCTGTAAAGTTAGTTTGACGGAAGATGGCTTAGAAAATACGAAATTGTCTGTTTCTTTGACAAAAGTAAATACGGTAGATTTTTCTTCGTTCGAAATAAGGAACATATTACCTCGTTACTTCAAAGTATTCGAAGCGTTATGCTAATTAACAATGTTTAGGTAACAGAATATATTGTAGCAGAAATGGAATGATACTGTTACAATTATTATTGGGAACACATCGTTGGAGTAAATGTAAATTATTTTTAACATAATCAATCCTCGTTAATATCTCGGAAAATTACAATATATTCGTTCGGTCGTATTCTAGATTATTTAATCCAAATAATTGTTGTTTATTTGTATATACGAAATTTAAAAAAAAATAGGTAGTTCTGCTTTCGAATGAATTATATAATGTTATTATTTTTCAATTATATATACATAATTGAATTTTGACGGGCAAGCGTTGCATCGTTGCATATAAAAATTAATCAGATTTAAAAATTTGTTTTAATCACGTTGCACCGTCGCGTATAAAAATTGATCACACTTTTTTAATCGCGTTGCACCGTCGCGTATCGAAATGTGATTCATTTTGATACGCAACGATGCAACGCTTGTCCCTCAAACTTGATACGCAACGATGCAACGCTTGCCCCTCAAACTTGATACGCAACGATGCAACGCTTGCTCCTCAAACTTGATACGCAACGATGCAACGCTTGCCCCTCAAACTTGATACGCAACGATGCTTTTTTTAATCGCGTTGCACCGTCGCGTATCGAAATGTGATTCATTTTGATACGCAACGATGCAACGCTTGCCTCTCAAACTTGATACGCAACGATGCAACGCTTGCCCCTCAAACTTGATACGCAACGATGCAACGCTTGCTCCTCAAACTTGATACGCAACGATGCAACGATTGCCCCTCAAACTTGATACGCAACGATGCAACGCTTGCCCCTCAAACTTGATACGCAACGATGCAACGCTTGCCCCTCAAAATTGATACGCAACGGTGATACGATACGCGAATATGCAACGAATGGATACGCACCTTTATACTTACGCAGCGGATTTTCAAATTCGATTTTCTCGGCAACGCTTGCTCCTCAAACTTGATACGCAACGATGCAACGATTGCCCCTCAAAATTGATACGCAACGGTGATACGATACGCGGATATGCAACGAATGGATACGCACCTTTATACTTACGCAGCGGATTTTCAAATTCGATTTTCTCGGAAACAAAGCTGTGAATGAAAAAATTTTATTCTTTATTTTTTTCTTATTTTTCCATAAGGAATCACGTCATGCCTGTTTTTACATATTAATTGGCCAGACTTTGTACAAATATGAAAAAAGCGCTACATAATGTGTTACAAAATTATTTTCTCAAGAAGTATCGAAGATAGGACAAAATATTCTTCTAACGTTTTAAAGATCATGTGAAACATTTTACGTGACATAGAGGATACCCTCTTTGTTCTTCAATAAAATGGTGGAACTTCCCCCCTGTTTTCCTATATGGAACAGCATACAAACTTCGGCAAACTTAGACAGCTCTTTGGAAAACAAATAACATTTGTCTAAAACGTCTTCCCATATGTTATATAACTTTCAAGTTAAGCCATTAATCCTCGAACAGTGAATGTTGGATCCATAATACTATTATCATAACAAAAATGAAATTTTCTACTGAAATTCGATCGTGTAATTATCTAAAGGGACTTGGTATTTGTGCCAGCGATTATGAAAGTGGTGCAAGTTAATAAACCATAAAAATCGAGTTTTTCTTTTTAATTTTGTTATATCCATTTGTATTTCAATATTGTAACAGAATTTTTGCAAAATAGTCGTGAAATAAGCAGTGACAGGAAGATGTCATTTTCATAATTAGCCACGACAGTTTTATATTTTATATTTTAAATAATTACATACTTTTGTATGACAAGGAAACAATATAACGACAATGGATTTACTATCTTATATTCCACCAATTCACCACGAATATTTGAACGCTCTTAAAACACTAAAAACAGAAAACTTTGTTGCTGAAACAGAATATTAATAGAAATTAATTAAGAAAAATGACAATTATAACATAAATAAATACGTTTATTTTTAACTTGTTTTACTTACAAAATTCAATGTTTTTTGTTAGTTAAGTCTTAATTAGGATGTCTTATTAATTTTGAAAAACACATTTTGGTACAAGTTACTCAAAATTTTACAATGATAGATAAGTTTTATCCCATGATGGAAAAACATTTTTCAGTGCGCCCAAACGCAAAAGTCTAAACCAACAAACTTTGCCAACATTTTTTGGCAGGTCATTTTGAGCAAATAATTTATGCAAATCAGTCTAAACTAGTATAAATCAGTCTAAAAACTAGCTTTAAATAAATGATTTTCATTAAAAGTTAATTTGTTGATTTATACATCTTTCCCCTTTCATATCTCAAAAACGAAGACGAATCATTACAAATTAGAATTTCAATAATTTCTGATTTATTATAAGTCCTAAAATTAATGGGTATCAATGAATGAATGAATTAACTAATAAATAAACTAAAAATTAGTAAATATCTATAATTCCCAAAATTACTATTTACATTAAACTATATTTTGCTATAAATTAAAACATTAATAGGTATATATAATACTTTTTGCTCAAAACAACCTCCCAAACCTGTTACCAAAGTTTCTCACTTTACATCTACAACACCCTCTACAAATTCTCCCAAATAAAACAACTTATTTTTCCACACATTATCCACTAACAACATCGTCTCTCCCTTCCTCGCCTAATTTACAATTAACACCAAGCCCAATAAAAACAAACTCACTACTCTCCACCCAAAACTCAAGCACACAAAATTACTCCGAATCCTATCCTCTCGTATCACCGCGAGAAACGCTGTTCCCCACAATCATACTTGCACCAAAGTATCCCCGGCGTAACCCGACTCGATAGCGACGATCATTTCCACTAAAGTGTCCGCGGCGTAAACCGGCGAAATCGCTACGATCGTTTGCACGCGTTGGGTAATCGTCGGTGAGGAGACATCTCGAAGCGAGAGGCAAGTCCACCGTAGGGATTAGTTTGAGCCGCGACGCGGCGCGGCGCGACGTTTTCAATCAAACCCGGCGTCCTCCATCGATTTTCCACTAATTAGAGTGACGGTTGTGTGCGTGACAGGTGGACGTCTCGACCCAGGTGGATCTGCACGGCGGTTTCGGTGTGCCTGGTGGCGGCATCAGCATCGATTGGGATCGCAGGGCGACGCCGTTGTACTCGCGGGAGGACATCAAGGAACAGTATTGCATAACCAGCCGACAATTGGACGCCGTGGAGAAATCAGGTGGTGGTTTCTTCGGTTGTCTGTCGACCAGAGGTCCGTCGCCTTGCAGCTCGACGAAAGCCTCGATCCTGTCCGCGTGTGTCAGGAGCGTTCCAAGCGATGAGAACCTCTGCGACGCGCCCTATCCACGACGGCCCCTGCAGATTATGTATCGTCAACCTTATCCGACCTATTCGAGGGGTCTGTCCCGCTACGACTTCGAGGACGAAGCTGACTGGATCGAAAGTTCCTACTTCCGACGTAGACCCAGATCATTCTGCACTGTCCCCGACCCGAAAAGGTGAGCTCTAATTTTGCGGATAAGTGAGACAGCTTGAGAGTAATTGGAAAGACAGCAGGGTCGTATTTGTGCTTTTCGTTAGGAGGCCTCGGAGGAACAAGTATTTTAGTTAAGGGGGTATTCTTTTGAGCAACTTTTAGGATTTTTTTTTGAAAGAACTATTAAACTTTTTGCGTTAGGGTTTTGCACATACATTTATGGGCATTTGAAATATGTAATGTATTTTTTTGAAGTAGAAACAGTCAAAATTACGTGAGTTATAGTTTGTTTTATAGAGTGTCCTTTTATAGACAACAGTCATCAGACTGTTTACACGATTCCGGGCCTTCTGCTGTTCTGAACTGAAAGAATGAGGAAGAATCTGAATTAGTACGAATCCAGCTATGGTCTGAACGAAAATAAAATAAAAATATTGATTATTTACAAAATGGCAGCATTTTGAATTTAGATTATCGATTTTTTTCGTATTTTGCCGTCTTTAGCGTGTTAAAAGAAAAAGAAAAAAAGGACGGATGTTAAAAATTTTACTTGATGCGATAACAAGATGCGTGCTGAAAATTCTCTACAAATTTCAAATCAATTGATAAACTAGAACTTGAGATATCGTGTAAAACGTTTCGAAGAATGAGGTTTCGAGAAAAACATCCTCCAAACGCTTACATCTAAATTAATTTCACGAATTCAAACAAATCCTTTTGCACACATTTTCTAGAATACTTATACTTTAAGAAAATGCAACAAAAAAGAATCGAAGAAATATTTCTGTTGTAACTAAAATTTCATAAAAATGTATCTTACAAAAGTTGCATAGTTTTGTGGGAGCCAGCGTATAATAGCAGTAGTTTCATTTCGTTGCAAAGGATTAACGAGATAAGAAGATCAGCTTTGTTTCTCTAAATTGAATGCTATATTTTATTTACTTGTATTTCAATTCAACAACACTCTGCATTTGCATTAAAAAAAGTATAAAAATAAATCAGATCAAATTTACTCTGACGACCAAATGTGTATCGTCCGGGGAAGTCCTTGCATTTCAGATACTCGAAGTACCCGAACTGCCCAGAATTTTCTGAGATCCTCCTAGACGACACTTAGGGGAAAAAAGGGTAATGGCGGTCACATAAGCTAAAATTGCAGTAAAACGAAAATATGGGGTGAAATATTTATGGAAAACTACTCCTTACAAACTTAAACTATCGAACTACTCGTAGAATACGAAAATAATTACTTACATATTGTTTTATAAAAATCAATATTTGCGCCTTGGGACGTAAAGAAAAGAAATTTCACATTTCGAGCATGTCGTTTTATAATAATCGTACTGACCATCGTTGCCCGGTTCGTCCCCTAACATTTGGTCCGTAGATATTCCCGCCGCCATCTTGGTGAACAGCGGGTCCTCATAAACTAGGCGTTTTCGTTTTCAGCGGTCTCTTGCTTTTATATTACGATTTTAGTATTTCAAAATTAGAATTTTATTTTGCAACTATAATTAGGCTGTTTTTTATATTGCTTGTGAGGAGTAAGGTTTTAAAGTGAGGCCCCAGCTTGCGCCTTATGGTAAATGCGGCCCTGAAATAGAGGAATCGAGGTTGGTTTGAGGTTGGAGGATTATTTGGTGGAACGAGGTGATTGATCTGGTGAGAGGCTTTTTTATAGAGGCCGATGTAAAGCGTTTGGCAGGAATTGTACGATCCGAGGTGTACAAAATGGTTCGCCTGTAGCATGTACAGGGTGTAAATAAAAGTAATTGCCGTGGATCTAGGGGAATCTGCACTCTTGGATTGTCAATGAAGTCGTTCATCTCGTAAAATGTTTTTTAATATTTACACCTGAAAATCTTAATAATTAAGGTGTTTATATTATCACAAGAGTATCGCGCACCATTACTAATTGTAGATAAATTTTAAACATCTTCTTACGCCGAGATATTTCGTTATTTTGCGAGAAACTTACTCCAGATATCCGCTTTAATCCTTAAATTCTCAACGACAATTTAATCGCAGCTTAAGAAGCAGATCTGAAGTAGAATTTAATTGAAACGATTCTTCGTGTTTGGATTATTCAATCAATTTTGCATTTTTGTAGGTACAATAACTATTACTAAATTTATTTTTAATCACTATAAGATATATAAATTTGTATACTGTCGTTTATAAGTATTACAGAACGTATTGCATGATTTAAATTACATTTCTTCCGCAAAATTAATAGAATATATCGGTATAAATATATAGGGTGTTCAAACAAAATTTCTTCACACATATTTTACTGGCGTTCATAGAATTTTTTTTTATATGTTAAAATTAATATCTGACATTTATAATACTCAGATTGCAATTATTATACTATGTTTTCCAGCATTAAATATTTTTCTTCGATAACCTATTTTTGGAGGCAGAAATGACAAGAATCAATCGCCCGCATGTAGCAATGTTAGCTTTTGGTAAATAAGATTTTTAATCATCGTTTGTTAACTTGCTCCACCGGTATAATGTTCCTTTAGTACATGAAACAATACAGGTATTTAACGTTTATTCTGTCCGCTGCATTTGTAAAGTAAACTTACACAATTACGTTGAAATTAATGAAGCGCTTCGTCTGATAAAATACAATATCGTTAAGTTTGTCGTATAAACGTAATATATTATGTTCAGTTTAATTTACAATTTAATTTAATCGTTAAATATGTCGAATTTTGCATATTTCATCAAATTTTATTAGCTTTGCGTTGCTTTGTTATTATTTCATAAGAAGTGACATAAGATTTTTAATAATTTGCGCTATACAAGTTTTAAACATTGTTGCAGTATTTCTTGAAATTGATACGAATACAAATTTTCTCAAGTTTTAATCAATAACCGCTTAGAATATTCAAAAACTCCGGAAATTGGGCTAAAATTTAAGCTGAAATTGAGACATAATTTAAAAACTGGGATTCATTATTTTTTATACAATACAAAAAAGAACACTCAATATTATTTTACTTCAGAAACTGAATTTCATATGCATATACTTTTGCCCAACGTGCATTTAAATTTCGCAAAAATCAATATTCTGTACCACACGCACAATTTATTTCGTATAGACAAAATTAACAAAAGAGCAATCTGAAGTGATAATCACCGATTTTGATGAAATTTTATTACGTGATAGATCTGAAAAAATTATTCGACACGTATTTTTCTTTATCGACAATCGTCCACACTGAAGGGGTGAAAATCGCCTTCAAAATTGAGGGTAGTAAACATACTTAACCCCTTCACATATGACAACCTGTCAGACTCGTGGCAGAGATTCTGGCGAAGATGTGAGAAAAATCGTTATATTAGTAAGAAAAATTAATCGTAACCCTAGCTTTCGTTTGAATTTGTAAGACTGAGGATTACGAAGTGTAATTAATTTGTGACAGATTAGTTTTTGTTACGTGATACAGTACTAAAATAGAAAATGGCTGACGCTTAGATGCACAGTCAGAAAAGAAATCATATGTTAAGGGGTTAATCAAATATTTCGAAACCTATTAGAGCCAGAGCAATAGTACAAATTGACGAAATTAGTATTTCTAATAGACGAACGTATCTGCCTAAACAAATTCGCAAAAAGTCCATTTTTTTAAAACAATACACTAAAAATTATAACATTTCCCTTAATTTCTTCAATAAAACATTTATCAATTTTCGCGTAAATTTGTGTACACAAATGACGTCATATTTCAAGTATCACGCAGCCAGAATGCAAATTGTAAAATGCAAATCGAGCTGTTGACCTGCGATCGTAAACCGTTGTACACAGAAATTCGCGAAATTCCTATTCCTCCGCGTTCGTAAACGAATTCCGGCGAAAGAGTAAAAAAAGGGAAAATTCACTGTCTGGTAACTCGTTAATATCCAGTTGTACAGGACATTTAGCGTCGCGCCATCACTACATTACGGAGATAATATTCCGTGGACGTAAAAGAGGTTTACCGCACCGATGAAAAGTTTCATCGTTCTCGGTGCGGTGATTCGACGACGCACATAAATATACGAAAGCAGCGCAGCGAGGGAAATTAACCATTCGCAGAGGAACAGAAAATACGCCACAACACTGACAGAATTTTAAGGACGTTTTCGAAGTTTGTAACGCGTTCTACTTAGCTATCGAATGGGGCACTCTCTGTCGAAAGCTGATTCACCGGCACGCTTCGTTTGTCTCGAGAAAAACGGCACGGTTTGTCTTCGTTGTCGCGGAAAAATTAGCCACTCAGGAGTGAAAATGATTCGAATTCTTCCGATTTTAGTATCGAAGCACAGACTCGGTGTTTAACTTTTCGTAAATAAGCAAAATTTAATAAACTTGATTTGACGGAGTTGGACACTTTGGTTTCTGAATGTTGCAAAAAATTAGCCACTCAGGAGTGAAAATGAAAAACTGAACTTTTCCCAATTTCCTTCAATTTTAGTATGGAAGCACATACGCGGTGTTTAACTTTTCGTAAATAAGTAAAATTTAATAAATTTGATTTGACGGAGTTGGACACTTTGGCTACTGAAAGTTGAAATTTGTTCCACTGTGACAAATTCTGTGGCAAATCTCTGTGTTTACTCTGTCATCTTTTGAGAATGCAAGAATATTTTTTATAAGTGAAAATATCCATTTGTTGTGAAATAGGACCACCGTGAATATCCTTCCCGATGGCTGACACGATATCAGACGTTGTACTTATCCAAAGTACAAAATGCGAACAGACGATTATCGTCTGAACTAGAATAATAAAAAAATATTGAGAAACAAAGAAATGGCTGGGTTTCAAAGAAATTGCTTTCGATTTTAGCAAAAAAAAGAAAAATGTTTTTTTGACCGCCAGGACTGAATTTTGAAGATATTTGCACAATTCTAGTTCAGACGATAAAGCAACATCTACTGAATACACCTGACAAATTTCGAGTGGATCGGACTTCCGGTTTTTTGGTAATCATGTCAGCCAGTTTCGAAAATGCTGTTTCGAGAGAAACGCGTTTGAAGTTTTAACTACAGTTTAAGACTACGTAAAACCGCTTTCTTTGAAGGCATATACCTCTGCCAATTTTGAGAATTGAGCTTTAAAACTACCTAGACATATTTTCGAGATGTTAAACTACCAGAAAATCCCCCAAAATACAAAATGTGTCATTCTTCGTGGCGAAACGCTATAATACATTAGTTTTCGCAGCGGAAACGGTGAAATGTGCTTGTTTCCATGGCAGACTGACACGTGCTGTTCTTCACGAGACACAAGGAACGTGGTACTTTTCGTAACGCACGTTGGATCACTGTATGAAAGAAAAGAAGAAAAGAGAGAATAATTACGAGCTTGACGGACTGTCTAAAGGGTTCGATTTATTTCTGATTATCGTTGTATAAAGCAGCCTCCTATGACGTAGTTTCAAGGTCAATCGCGTAGAGAGGATCGATGAAAAATGATGTTGCGAGGGTAAATTGGCGTATTTATACGTTAGCGGCGCGTCGACGTGAAAACTGCGGAAATAAATGCGAACACGTGATCGATCGATTTTGTAAAAGCTGCCGCGGCAGATAAGCATGAAAGACATGTCGATGTGTTGTAGTTAATAGCTGGCGAAAAGGTGTGCTATCGATATTGATGAGCGATTCACGGCAGATGATATTTCAACGAAAGTACCGTAATTGGAATAATCTAGCTTGGAAGATAATGAATGTTTCGTTGGTACGGTGATAAAAAAGGTTTTGTAAATTTTTTTGCTAATGAATATTCAATTTTTATTGGTTAAGAAGAAACGCGAAAATTCGCGAAAGAAAAATTGACAAACCGTCCTCGACTCCAAAATGTACCCAAAACAATTTCCAAAAAAACTTAACGTTTACATTGTCCAAGGATTGCACCGTGAATCCTTGAAAAATACAAAAAGAAAAAAGGGTGACAAGGAGAAAAGTGCAGAAAACACAAAACGATATCTACTTCACCAAAGATAAAAAACGCCAAAATTTGCAAAGGAAAAATTGACAAACCATCCTCGAGTCCAAAATTTATCCAAAACAATTTCCAAAAAAAACTTAACGTTTACATTGTCCAAGGATTGCACCGTGAATCCTTGAAAAATACAAAAAGAAAAAAGGGTGACAAGGAGAAAAGTGCAGAAAACACAAAACGATATCTACTTCACCAAAGATAAAAAACGCCAAAATTTGCGAAAGAAAAATTGACAAACCATCCTCGAGTCCAAAATTTATCCAAAATAATTTCCAAAAAAGACTTAACGTTTACATTGTCCAAGGATTGCACCGTGAATCCCTGAAAAATACAAAAAGAAAAAAGGGTGACAAGGAGAAAAGTGCAGAAAACACAAAACGATATCTACTTCACCAAAGATAAGAAACGCCAAAATTTTCAAAGGAAAAATTGACAAACCATCCTCGAGTCCAAAATTTATCCAAAACAATTTCCAAAAAAACTTAACGTTTACATTGTCCAAGGATTGCACCGTGAATCCTTGAAAAATACAAAAAGAAAAAAAGGTGACAAGGAGAAAAGTGCAGAAAGCACAAAACGATATCTACTTCACCAAAGATAAAAAACGCCAAAATTTGCAAAGGAAAAATTGACAAACCATCCTCGAGTCCAAAATTTATCCAAAACAATTTCCAAAAAAAACTTAACGTTTACATTGTCCAAGGATTGCACCGTGAATCCTTGAAAAATACAAAAAGAAAAAAGGGTGACAAGGAGAAAAGTGCAGAAAACACAAAACGATATCTACTTCACCAAAGATAAAAAACGCCAAAATTTGCGAAAGAAAAATTGACAAACCATCCTCGAGTCCAAAATTTATCCAAAATAATTTCCAAAAAAGAACTTAAGGTCTGCAAAACATCTAGTTACAGATACATTGTCCAAGGATTGCACCGCGAATCCTTGAAAAATACAAAACGAAGAAAGAAAGAAAAATTGACAAACCATCCTCGAGTCCAAAATTTATCCAAAATAATTTCCAAAAAAGAACTTAAGGTCTGCAAAACAGCTAGTTACAGATACATTGTCCAAGGATTGCACCGCGAATCCTTGAAAAATACAAAACGAAGAAAAAGAATAAAACAAGTAACAATAAAAGCGACAACGAGGATTCGTTTAATTAAAATTAGAGGATACAGTTGGCAGAGAAACGAGGACGGCGTTATTACGCACCGCGAAAGAGAAGCTAAAATCTAAATACGATTTATTTAGGTCGTTGTTGCAGCTTCGCAGAAGCAACATCACCGTCACCCACTTTTCTCCAAGATAATGCCTGTCACATGCGAGGATCGGCTCCTGGCCGACACAATGGAAATGAGAATGTAGCCATCGCGCGTGGCAATATCACCGCGGTGTGTGCTCTTGTCATGTATTAAATAAAAAAACGCAGGTGTCCCCAGGCAGAAATAAATGTCTATCGACTAACCGGTTAATTAAACCGCGTGTACCCACGATCAGGAACTGCTGTCGCGCTTAACGGCCCGCTTTTATCCCGGTGTCACCCGGTAGAAAAACCGCCGCGTGTTTTCTTTAGATCGTTAACGCTCGCTCTTTTTCTCGCGATTATGAAACGTTCTTCCGCGGCACCTGTTGGATTATATCGGGAGAAGCAACGACGTACACTCCCGTTCGTAAGTTATTGGAACACTTTTTGGATCGGGTTGGCCGATAAGCAGATAATATCGGATTTTTCCGGACGTTTTTGCTGGTTTTGAGACAAAAGACTGTTCTTAAGCTATAATTGGAAAAAAGAAGTTTGTTACATTTGGTAAAATTCTTTTAGCGTTCAGTTTGGTTTTAGGGTGAACAACGGAAATATTTATTTTGGTACAATTATGGGGTTTTTATTTTTGCAAAGGTAAAAATAAGGTACTGTTCGGGCGTACCGACGACCGAACAATACATCGGCCTTTTCTGTAGAAACAGTATTTGTAAAGAGAAGTCTTAGCCGGTATTATTGCAGCAAAAATTTCGAAGACTCTACACCCGGACACCACATGCGTCAAGACCATGAAACAGACCCTCGACACCAGTAATCCTATGTACACAGCAATATAACAAATCTATGTAACAACAATTTCCCCACTTTCACACCATCAGACAGACACTCCTCAAACATCCCAAAAAACCAATCACCACACACTTCCACCACCTCCTACACATTCGAACCACCAATGAAAAAACACACCTAGTTGATAAAAGAGCGAACATAGACACTCCAAAAAAAAGGAACTCGTTTAGCTTTCGAAGCGCACACTACAATTATCACACGACTTTAGTGGAGCTCTCCGGACATTAGTTTATCGGGAGAGAGCGACGCGAAATAAATATTGTAATATTTTGTGCCGCATCAAGCTATAATTAGAAAAAGAAGTTTGTTACATTTGGTAAAATTTTTTTAGCGTTCAGTTTGGTTTTAGGATGAACAACGAGAAAATCTATTTTCGTGTAATTGTGATTTTTCTATTTTTGCGAAGGTAAAAATAAGGTGCAACAGATTTGTTTTGGAGATAGAAAGATTTTAGTGGTGTGAAGATAGTTGGAGAAGTTTTGCGATGGAGATTTTAGTTTTGCGAATAAAAGTGAGGTTTATGGCTGCAATAATGAAATATAGGACCATCGCCCTTCTGGCGAAGCTATTGGAAGAATTAAAGATATACAATAAACGTGAATAAGAGGGTGACTGCTTTTTTTATTTCGAGTAAAATGTGTAGCGATAAAACATCTTTAATGTTTATGTTTGTTTCTTTCGAAGTGAATGGATATTTTATTGTGCAAGTATGCACTTAAGGTCTTTGGGTCGAAAATGACCCAATTCCCATGAATATGCGAAATTCGTATTTTCAACTAATAAACAGTATCAAGGAAATATAGAAATATGTTGTTGTATCTATTGTAGAAACATAATGTACCTATGCCTTTTACATATAAATTTTGAACATTTTTGATAGTTTAATGTGCTTTAATAAGGGCTCCTTTTGCAGGTAAAATTTCAAAGAATGAGACCATATTCTTTTTTAATTTGAACACCTCTAACCCATCGCAGAGAAATTCAGAAAATAAGAATTTGTTTACGATTTTCAGTATTATAAAATCAATTTTTCAGATAACAAAAATATTGTTACAATAGAACCATCCTTCTAGATTAAAAGAAAAAAAAAGTGAGCTCAATTCGACCAATAGTTTCCGAGATAAAAATTAATAAGCACACAGCCTGTTTTCACAAAAATAGGCAAAAACTGTCAAATTCAAAGGTCCGTATTTTTTAAACAAATTCGAAATCAGCTAAATGATGACTTAAACCCCCCCTAATTCTACGTACACTACATTATATTGCATTTCATTTGGAGCAAAGTCTCCCAGGAATCTCCAGAATCACCCTAAAGAAGTAAGAACGTGATGGGTCAAAAATGACCCAGAGACCGTAGCAAAGTCCCGTATTTATTTCACATTTTGTATAACAAACCCTTACATATTTTATAAATATTTGCTTCTAAATACACACATACATAATTCATATTTGTATAACATATACGTCTCGTTATAACACGAAAGGAACGTCTACGGTAATTTACCAAACTCAGACCAGCCCTCTCATGCATATATTTACAGCCCTTGACTCGATTTATCCTGCAAGAGGGAAAAAGCTTTTGAAAACTTTTCTTTGTCGCAGGTACACATGGCTTCCAGAGGACGAGGAATCGACGAAATTGGAGGGTCCTCGTCCGGTACTGCCCCCAGCACCTCCGCCACCCACCTCTCAAGCCCCGAAACCGAAACACGTGAGCTTCGCGAGATCGCATACTCTTACATCCTTTGACATGCCGAAGAGTAGAAGCCCTCCGAGACCGCAGAATCAGGAACGCCTTATAGATTCGCAGCCAACGATGCAGAACGCCATGCTTCCTTCGACCTTACCTCTGATGCATCCTTACAACGCCAGCGAACCTCGTGTTATTGTCCTCGGTGAGTCTCTCTTTTCATGGAAATGTCGTAATTAGCCTTTCGCTGGAAGTTTGCCTCGGATGGTTTTGTGTCTTATTGGGTCGCGCTATCTAATTCCACAAATTTTTTTCATTTTAAGATGTTAATCACAAGCCACAGTTTGTAACATAACCTATAATTTTGACTGAATACGTCCATTTGTTGTTCAAATTTGCTCCATTAAAGAACTTACGTCGAGAATTGATTAACTTAGAAGTTACGATTTTTGTCCCGAACGCCCATATACTCGAAACACTGTGGGTCGTCCTGAAATTCACGGTAATACGGAAACTTAGAAGTTTTTTCGAGGTTATGTTTTCAGTTCTAGGCGCGTTTCGTTGCTGAGACAGAAAATGGTTTCGTTATTAGCGTTAGGGGAACTACATTTGGCAAAAGTTGACAAAAATTTACACAGCGTGGATAATTTCTTTCTTTTACATGTATTGTAGAGGGTTTATTTTCGTTCTTGAGATACGCGAGTTTGCAAACTGGACTTATTTCGAAATTTGCAATGAAACTAAACAGTAATTTTTAAGTGTGCTGACAGTGAATATGGAATTGAGCAAATGTGAACATAAGAGAAATGTTTACACTTTTTGTAGTTACTTCGCAACTGTTTACTAGATAGTGTGTTCTCAGGATACTGTTCAGTTTTGTTGTACTAGTCAAAGAAACGACAACAATGTGACTTCACGAATTTCTTTCTGTTATCGAAGATGAAGAAAAACTTTTCGATTATTTAATTGAGCATCGCGTTATACGTAACGAGATTAAATCTGATTTTAAATAGAAACTGGGTTTGGGTTAAGTTAGGTTAGGTTAGAATATTTTCAGGGAAGAGCCAACGCGTTTACTTTGTACCAAAAATCGTGGAAATGTATGTCAAGATTAAGATCATAGAGATTACATTTTTTTTTTTTTTCTAAGAATATTATTTTTATGAAATTTCAAAATCGTATATCCCAGGAACCAAATGAGGCCGCTGCAAAATTTAAAGCGTGTGTTACAAACCCTCTACAATAATTGTCAAAAGAAAGCTAATCCGTGCTATGCAAATTTTTATTAACTTTTACTCTACATTTCTGCAAATTTTCAAATTTTTTAAAATTTTCTGATCACCGAACTGCCCTCGTGAATCAATTTTTGCAGGATCTTAATAATTTTCTAATGACTGTTTAGGTTTGCTTCACATTTAATAAGTATCCTAATACATTTCTGTTCAAATATGGAAGATTTCGTATTCAGTATGCAACAATGACAGTTGCTAATAAGTCGAAAGATTGATAATATTTGGAAGGCAATATCCGACATGAAATTGAAAACGTGAACACAATAGGAAATTGCTATATAAAAAGAACTCAATTTTGCATGAACGTGCGCGCCTGTATTTAGGATGTAACAACATCCAACGTTCGGAACAATAGTCGAATATTTCATTTATCTCGAGATACATAATTAAAGCTTATCGGATGATTAAATAATACAGATCTCTGTATTATTTAAGGTTTTGATTTATGTAAAATTTGTGAAAAAGTAATAACGTGGGGCACCGGAAGTAAATACTTTTGTGGCTCACTGTAATGCATATAGTATCCTATGTGCAGTAGAGAGAAATATTTAGGAATGATTTATTAGCAAAGATTGTTTATAATAAACAAAAACAATTTTTCAGTGATTAGTAATAGGTAGTTTTAATCAATATCGAAAAATTAGCAATTGGCATCTAGTATTTGATAATCGATGGCTACTAAACGTTGCTGAGAATTGATAATTACTGGACTGCGGATTTTTATGCAAATTTATATTTTTGAGAATATAGCAAAAAAAGTAGAACTTTGGTGAAAAATTATTTCACCTACCAGGTATTATAAAAAGCACTATAATTTAGATATTTTTTCATATTACGTGCATTGTGTGCAATTTTGTACCTTTAAATTTCCTGTAAATGCATAAAAATCCGCAGTCTAATAATTACAAAGTAAAAGGTGTGTGCAGGTTAATAATTCAAAGCAATTAATTAATATCAGTTGGTTAATATGTGAATAATAATCAATCTTTACAAACAGAAATTGACAATTCGTAGCTGTAAGAAATTGTTAATACAAATTGCTAAATAATAATTTTTGATAATAGTTAAATAATAATTTTTCCAAGTAATTTTTATCACGTAATTTTGAAGATTTTATATCGAATGTGTAATTATAAAAAACGTTTTGGTGTCTTATTTTCTATAATTAAAATTGGGTGTATTTCTTAATACAGTATACAAATAAACTCGTAGGAGATAACTTAATATCATAAACTTAAAGGACTTTCTACGAGATCGTGTTTCACAAACTTATACTGTAACGTTTCATCCGAACTATTTCAAATTTCTCATTAAAACGCGATCAACACCAAACGTAGTCGCCTTTTACAAAGAATCTAAAGAACGATAATTAACCCTCCGTAAGCAATCTGGGTCTTTCACGACCCAAGTGAGATTTCTTCGAAACAAATTTTTATTTTAGTGAAAAAGTTTGAAACATTTTCCTTAACGAATTGTTGTATAATATAGTAGAGACTTTAATAAGTACCCCAGAATTTTTCTAGATTTTTTGAAAGCCTAAAACGGTAAAAAAATTAGGCTTCAGTGTGAAATAATTTTTTTCGGGTCATTATTGACCCAAGCGAAATTTCACTCTTGTATTTCATCGATTATTGAAAAAAGTTTTATACATTTGACTTAACGAACAATTGTATAATGTAGTAGAGACTTTGATCAGTACTCCAGAATTTTTTCAGATTTTTTGAAAGTCTAGAACGGTAAAAAAATTAGGCTTCAGTGTGAAACAATTTTTTTCGGGTCATTATTGACCCAAGCGAAATTTCACTCTCGTACTTCATCGATTATTGAAAAAAGTTTTAAATATTTGTCTTAACGAACAAGTGTACAATGTAGTAGACACTTTGATAAGTATCCTAGAATTTTTTCAGATTTTTTGAAAGCCTAGAACAGTAAGAAAATTAGACTTGAACACAAATTACCCAATAACACAATGAACCAATGAACACAAATAAGTGTGGAAAAATATATTTGCCTACGGAGGATTAATTATATTTCTTATTTTATTATTTATTATTATTCAGCCTCATTGCTATGAAAAGGACTTGGCCTACAATAGACAATTACATTATTTTCTTATCTATTCAAGCTTCATTTCGTCTCGTCACTCACAAACTCATTATTTCTAACTACGTAGGTACGTTCCTAATTATAATTCTATCTAACTTATTGCTACCAAAAGGTTAATTACACATAATGCTCAATGTTACAAATGTCCAATTGAAATTTCTTCCAACTTTCCCAAGTCTCGCGACACTTTCTTCAAGGTAAATTTTCACGCATTCACATATTTTATACGATTCGTATTCTGGCTCGCCTGTCTCTCAAAGGCACACACACACACATTCACCCATGTGTAACTAAATAAATAGGCCGTCTGATGTAACTTAAAACTAAGTCTACACCCTGGACTAAAAGCACCCTTTAGAGAAAATGTTTCGATAGGATGGTTCGCTTGAACATCTCCTCCTGCTCCTCCCTCCTCTTAGCGCCACACAGTAGGTCACCCAGCGAAAAATTCTACGATATTTAAGGTTCACGCAATTAGAGATCCGAACTTCTTACGGCCATTATTTCAATTATTATTAAGACATGCTTATTAAAGTAACCTATAATTACGATCCGCTGTTTGCGGCAGAGTTGAACATTTACTTTAAGGTGTGTACGGAATGTTGTAATATGTAGAACAAATGTTAGTGTGCCGTGAGAACGAAGATTAGTGATATGTGATTTAAATAATTATTCGATATACAGGGTGCTTCAGAAATAGGTGGCCAAACTTTGGTATCGTATTCTATTCTCCCTAAGGATGAAAGAAGGTCTTATAAATACAGGTCTGGCACTCTTCCTTTTCGAGATATAAACAATTTTCGTTCGCTTCGAAATTTTGCAAAATCGGATTATCGATGAATGTGACAAAATTCGGAATACACCTGGAATTTTTGAACGTTTTTGACGATCTCTGAAACGTCAATGCGATGTGTGTATTGTTGCGAAGGGAAATTCTTTTCAGTATTTTTTTTAGTCAATTTTTTACAATTTACATTTATTTTTGTAATATTTTTTAAAACCTTCTGTCGCAAGCAAAAAGTGTTTACACATATTTCGGAAAGGAAGAGTTTTTGAACTTACGTTCAAATGACCTTTTTTCATCCTTAGGGATATATAAAGCTAAAAAATTTGTAAGAATACCTGGGCAAATTTTTATTTGAAATTACAATAGGAAACAGCTATTTGAATAATATTTTGGTCTGTTATTTTTGTTATAGTTAGGTGAAAATATAGGTAGTATCGATTTATTCGAAGTAGTAGCAATTTTAAGTAATAAATGATTTCGTTATTTCTTTATTTCCAATTTGGCAAATGAAATTACAGTTAAGAAAAGTGAAAAGTTCTCTCTCTGTGAGAAGTTCATTAGTTAGAGATTTTCTCTGGGACCATCTAATATAGTTACGAAAGAAAATAATCGTTCAACTGGTGCAGAAGATGAAAGGGGGTTACTCTTGAAGAAAACACTTCTTTTGTTCCATGAAACTAGTAATATCACGTTTATTAATTTTACAAACTTTAAACTCACTCTTCTATTCTAAAAATTGATATTTTGTAAAATAAAACTACCCTTTTTCATTGTTCGTCGAATTTTTATAATTAAGATAATATTCGTTCATATTTTATTAACTTAACAAATTTTCAATCTACTTTTTTATTCTCAAAAATGCAAATTTTGTAAAATAAAGCTTTCGTTCCTCTTTATTCTTTTATATTTTTACAGTATTCTTTCATATTTCGTTAACTTCACAAATTTCAAATCTACTCTTTTATTTTCAAACCAGAAATTCTGCCAAATAAAACTCTCATTTTTCATCGTTTTTTCAAA